ACCTCCTCCTTAGATCCTCATATCTCCCACCATCTCCCCCACCCGCGCCATTGACAATTCTCCGCTCCTTCTCCCCCACCATCCACGCCGGGACCCTCCATGTGCCGGTCCCAGGCAGGAACTCCATCCGCCAGGCCACACCAACCAGCCATCCCACCGCAGCGGGGATGACCATCGCCGGAAACTGCGACAAAGCCAGTTGCGCAGCGACAATATATGTTGTAGATTTATCAGACAATGTAAGAGTGAGGGACTTGTTGCTCTGTTGCGGTGGGTCTTTTGTATCGTTCGAATCAGAAGAAGACGACGTGGAGATCCGGTAGCGGAAGGTAGATGGGATTGAGGCGTGGTATTGCGCTAATAAGGCGAAGATGGTCGCTACGGGTCCGGAGGGGAGGTAGTTCATTTTCCCGAGGGTGATGGGTCGGAGGACGAGGATGAGAAGGAGTGGAGGGAGGAGGGTTGTGTAGGGGAGTGTGGTGAGGAGGAAGGTCTATGGATCATTATCGCTTGTTAGTAGCTGCATTTGTAGTATAGCTTGTGGACGGGGGACAGTGACGAAGAAAAGTAAGATAAATGAGATAACGTACGGCAAACTTCCTCTTCCCCCAGGCGCGTTCGACGACTCGTAGATGATACACCAACATTGCGGCGAATAGCGCCTCCGTCGAGTTTGCGAATCCGGCTACCTGCCACACCAGGATGCGCCAGAACTGTCCATATTGCCAGATGTGCGGCACGACCTGGATACTAGTGAGATGTTTAAGGTCGAAGATGGCGAGAGCCACCGAGGAGGCGATGGTGTAGATGAGGAGGGATTTGGAGATCGAGGCGTTGGTGAGTCCGGAGGTTAACATCTTCGAGATGTTGGTGTGGATTTATTAGATTAATGTAGGTTATTGGAGCTGGAGGCAATCTCTCCTGAATATTAAGAGGTAACTAGAGCATTAAGGCGATATCTGATTAGTGGAGCGTCCCGGTGGTTGCGATGCTGGTCTGATGAGCTGGAAGGAAGGTGGAGGAAGTGAGGGACACGTCGCGTGAAGGGCGGGCCGAGGCGGAGGGGGCGGAGAGCGGAGGGCTCGGCATGCCGATCAAAGTACTTAAAGACCCAATATGAATCGTTAATAGTCATTTATGTCTATTCTATCATACATTATGGCCATATCACGCAGATGGCATTTCCTTCATTTCTTCAGCCAACGCCTGGTTGTACTTCGCCAATGCCGTTTCCAACGCCCGAATGGTCGGCCCCAATAGTCGATTGACAGCTTGTTCGCCCCCAGCCACACCGGCGAGATTGAGCTTCAGCTTCCTTCCCGTCCTTTCCAGCACTTCTCGGGCATGCTGCTTCAGTCGATCAACCTCAACCTGCCGCTCTGTCTCTGCGTCTTGCGCCACCGACTTAATGCGCTCCATGGCTCGGTTCAGTGACTCCACAAGCGAAGCTACCTCACCTGCGCGATCCGCGTTTCCTGACAGAAATGCCTGCCAGAATTGATGCAGAAATTCAGTCGTCGTGGCATGCGTTAAGGTCAGCCGGTCGTACAATGCAGTCGACAAACCATATGTGCCGGCATTGCCTGATCCCTCTGTTTGGGAGCGGCGGTCACGGATCGCTTCGAGGATCTGGTTTGAGGCGCGCTTCAAATTGGCCCTAGAGCCAATTACGTCTTCGAACTTTTGCTGATCCTCATCGTCCTCTTCCTGCGGTTCTACCAATCTCCCCAGCGGCGCGGCTCCGCCCTCGGGCAGATTTTGTTCCAGATCCCCCCGTAGCTGTCCGAGTATCTGATTTGGATCCTGCTGGGCAAACAGCTTATTTTGCTCGTCCTCCGCAGTTTTTGAGTGTGACGAGAAAAAGCGACTTTGGTCCTTGACGTTGAGGAGGATACGTTGCTGTTCCTCGTCCCCGCGTAAGTCACGCAGCTGCAGCTCGTTGTACGTCCCATCCTCACCCGTCTTGCCATCTGCCTCGCCATCGGCTGGTGCAACGTTCGCCATAATCTTCTCACTCAGACTATTCAGGGTGCGGATGATAGGCACCTTCTCCACCGAGGACGGGCGCATGTCGAGATCAGGTCGGTTACCTTGCCGTTGACTGTTGTTCACTTCATTTCCAGCCAGATCCAGGAAATGCGGAACATGCGCGTCGCGCGGTAAATTTCCCGACTCGTCCGCCTTAAGGTATTTGTCCAGGATTATGTCCGTGGGATCCGTTTCGGAGATGCGCTCTCCGCGCAGTTTCTTGAACAACCGACTTTGGAAAAACCGAGACCAGAACTGCTGCTCGCTAAGCTTGGGTACATTCTCATCGTACACCCGCTTCACAAGCGGGTGCTGATTGAAAATCAACTGGATCTGCTCCTTGCTAATATTCAATTTTGTCACGCTATCCTCCACCCGCGGCTTCAATGTCGATAGCACATTGTAGGATCCGCGTGTCTGCGACCGCTCGATCGCATGCGCGCGCAAAAGATGAAGTCGAGTGGACCAAAACTGCGTCATGAACTGCGAAGCAGACAAAGTATCCGGCTTGGTATGTAACGACTCCATGAACATGCGCTGGAGAATCGGATTCGACTTCAGCAGCGACTGTTGCAACTCCACATCTCCTTGAAGCCGCTTGTCATCATCCCATGGGTTCTTCTCTTTCCCTGCCGATGATACAGCATTCGCTATGGCCATAGCAGGAGACACGCCTTCTTTAACGGGGGCATTCTGAGCTGTCTTTGCAGCTTGAATAGCGGCACTGAGCGCATCTCTGATGGCATCAGCTTCCGGTCGCGCGTTCGCTCCAGCTGTAAAGGAGAAGACATATTGTTCGGGGGAACTGGCAGGGGCGTTCGGAGGGAGGACAAAGATCTTCAGCATCACTTTCGGGTTACTCGCGGGGGTCTGTTGCAAATCTATCCGTAGTCAGTAAAATCGCGCCCGGTGAATCAAGCTGAAGACTACGCCGTACTGGTAATCTGAGCAACTGGAAGGGTAATTGCACCAGCTGCACCGCCAGCCGCCGGGATCCAAGAGATCGACTGGCGGTCCTGGGCTATGGTCAGGGTGCCATCTTTCTTCTTGTATGCCGCCGACCCGCTCGGAGGTGCCATCGTCATGGATCTCGACAGCGTCCACTGTCCAGGGCGGCGTCTAGGGATCCACCCATCGGGAGATTAAAATCCCACGGGAGAATCGGAAGGACAGGGCCTTCAAAGACGCGAGAGCTTTGAGTGGATGGGTGAAGATGCGAGTTTGTGAAAAGTACGAAGTTCCGCAATCAGTGAAGATGAAGGCACGTGATAGATATACTGAGACATGTGACTTGCTCTGCTTAGTCAGGTTAACAGCCCTAACAAGTCAATTCAGCTTGAGTACAGTTTAGGTGAAGGAAAGAATAGAAGTGACGAGGTTGTCGGGCTGGATATGTCCTGCAGATGATACTTTGGGTCAGAGTTGTTTCTGATCTGAGAGTGTAGTGCGCATAGCATGTATATGCTGAGGGTGCGCAGAGACATTATTTCGGGTTTCTTCGAAACTAGATTTTAATATTAATTCATCTTCAGGGACTAGAGTGACTTCAAATGCTAATTTTCTTGGCTGTACTTAAGGATGGCTGGGAATAAAAAGGAGATATTATCGGGTATTCTCATTAGCTGCATGGATGCAACCAATTTGTCCTGCGACTTCTGATTCTCTCTAGTCTTGTGACCAGGAACCAATCATGGCCATAGTCGAGCAGGTTTGGGAGAGTAATTCTATATAAAAGCCAAGACAGTCTTATTACAACACAATGAATGATACGCCAAAGAGGGATGGCGGCATATCTCAAGCAACAAAGACAGTCTCATAATAGACATAGACGGATATTTCCTCCCAACAACACACATAAGATGGTAATTTGTGGCAATATCCGAGCAGAAGAAGGAAAAAAAGAAAAAAAAAATCTATAGAATCAGTACAGTACTTTCTAATTTTTGAATAGATCACCCACTACTCCAGAGCAAAGCGGTAGACAGTGCAGGATGCGCGTGTATTCGCCGTTACATAGAGCTATTACAACCGATAGCGGAAGGGGGGATTATTTGGAAATGAATATATCCAAGGGTATAGTACGTTAGGCAAATCACACCTAAGCTTCAGACTCTAAACTTGCTAAGAGTCCACCAGGAAAGGAACATCTGGAAGTAAGACCGGAAAGTCCCATATATAGCCCTGAATCTTTTCTAGGGCTCTCCAATATAAAGAGAGCGCCTCACTTGGTTCCAGATCTCTCTTCTCATCCAAGTTCATACTACATGTCGACACAAACACCCTATGACATGGGGAGTTCTCAGTCCGAGGAGTCTGGCGCGAAAGCTCCAACTCATATTGATTATAAACTAGAGAACATCATCGCGGAGGCGCTAGATAATGCTGGAGTGCCCAACGTATTCTGCGGTCATGGGCTAATGAGCGTCTATGGTCTTCTGCAGGAGCAAAAGGTAGCATACTTTCTCCCACCTCCATAAAACTAGTGTGTGATCGAAGCTAACCACTTCCAGAGTTCCACCTGGGTCATCCCAAATTTCTACATTGCAGAAGCAGATTCCCTTCTACAAGCGGCCGGTCTCCACAGTTGCCATAGGTCTTACTGCGAGGGATACCGTCCCAACAAGAGGCCTTTTGCTCCGGCCTATCACTACCATGTCCAACCACGGGTGAACAGACCGCACAACCACGTCGTGCTCTTATATAAGATGGGGGACCTATTCATCGACCTGGCGCCGGTTCCCACGCGACTACCACCATTGGATGATCCGGACTATATGCTGGTCGATGACCCTCGGCTGCCAGACTACAATGATGAAGTTGGAAATGGTCGTTGGCAGTCTATTCGATCGATTAAGATTCCAAAGCCAGCCCGGTTCATTGATGCTATGGTACTTCTCATGGTGAGAGAATGGCCTCAGGACCCTACGTCTTCTATATGGTATGAGTATTTGGGCGAGCTGCTGGATCATATCCGTGAATGCGGAGAATATGAGCTCGTACCGAGTTGGGATGCGTTGGGAAATTTAGCGCGTGGTTTTGTGAAGTTTTATTTCGATGGGGAGACTAAGAAGAGTCCGTATGAGGTGAAGAATTATATATCCAAAGTGCGTGAGGAGATGATCGAAAAGACAAAGATACCTTTACTCCTCATGGCAGATGAAGTTGAATGATAATCATGAAAATTCTTTCTAATTGAGAAAAACTTCATTGATTTATCTATATAAGTAATCTGAAGCTTATACTCCGAGTTATTTCATTGTGAATGAACTTGGGTCGCTCGGGCTGTATGGCTCCTCGCATGGGCATCTCAGGCGTCATTATCTAAGACACTCTGCCCCAGTACATTGCATAGTAAAATGAGCAATGCAAATGACGACTTCTACAATAATACCAAAGCTAATGCTTACCGGATGTTTCATATTCTCATAGATCTAAGTCCCACCTTGCTGGAACCTACATCTAATAGTACAACATCCCCATTTCAACCCATATCCGAGAAAATGAGATCGGTATAGCCTTAGATATTTTACAAGGTCAAAGGTCACCAATAGGCCTACTATTGTCCGCTACAAAGCCGATTTCCAAAGAATGCTGGGGTATAAGTATGCTTTGTCTCAAAGTCAATACACCTTTGTCCGGGCCTTAACAATGACTGAAAAAATAGTAAAGGTAATTCTCTATTCTGCTGATAGGTAGCACCCGGGACCTAACATGCGAGTTATAGCTTCTTTACTACGCCACAAGTTACTACCCCAACGTCTCTCACACGTTGTTGACTATAAATTTACCCCAGAATTCCTGTTCCATCTGATCCCTATTCATATAGATCCTTCCTTCAGACAACTACAGGATCGAAGATTCAAACACAAAATGCGTTTCGATAAGTTTACCATCGACGAAATCGATAAGGTGTATCCGGATATTCTGTATCCAAGCAAGGATGCTGTCCTTGACGCTGCATCACATCTGATCGAAATTATGCAGATACTGAAAAAGCAAGATATCTTGCGTACCACACTTGTGGGACTTACAGGAGGTCTTGCTGTCATGCATCATTGCCCCGATCGCCTGCCCAGCATTGTAAGTGGACTGGATTACAAGAACCGCTCACCAAGGCAGCCTTCCATTGACTAACATACTGAGTAGGCATGTAATAGAAAAGAAGATATTGACATCGTCCTGGACTTAGCAGATTCAACCCTGGAAGACCTTAAGGACGCATTGCTATACTATTACTCGCAGATCTTCATAAAACACCGTCAAACGCTTTACATGCGGACACCAGGAGGCAAAGTGAGGCTTGACTTCAAGATAATCCCTGCGAACGTAAGTGCGGATATACACAATTCATAGATCTCCACTAACTGTGTGATTAATTACGAAATGACGTCAATCTAACTATGCGATAAGAGGAAATTGAAAGGAATGCAGTATCTGTCTGTTCTTGAACTGGCAGATCTACCATTTGTCAACAAGATAGACCTCATGACGTCTAAGTTATACGAAGTTCACCCTGATCCTTTACCCTCACCTTGGGGAGAGTCGGAAACCGCGAGAGCTATTCACCATGGGACAGATGCGCTCAGACTGGCTCTGTTATTCGATCAGGGAAAGAGAATCATTCTCACTGTGAGGCAAGCTATGCGGGTAAGAAGGGCGTTCCGCTCTTTAGAAAATTATACCGGCATTCCAGGCGTTCAGTGGCTTGAGTTGTTTCTCGTCCGCGGCAGATATTATCATAATCGTCCGACTGAGATTCTGGACCTGGAGAAGGCTTTCTTTTTGTTGGAAATGAGCAAGTACAAACGAGAAATATCAGACCCATGGTACTACTAGCATAAAACGAATTCAGCTATACTCTTTTCTCTATTCTCTATGTTAGAAAGAAACATCATACTTGTCAACAGAATCAGCCTTAAAGTAACAGGCATCGCCTTCCACATCAATTCTCCCAAATTCTCTTTGACATTTCCATTGCTCAACGTATCAATATTTCTTATTATCGCACTAGTCCTATTCATACCAGCCTCCGCAGACGCCCCAGGACGCCAAACAGCCCTCACTTCTAACATCAGCTATCGCCCCTAAAGACAGAACCGTGCATTCATGACTTCTTTATCAGCGGCAACATAGACCGTATTACTTTTGTCAAGGCATTATAGTTACCATATACTCAGGATATATAGTTTGGTGGTTAGTTGTAGTTGATTACCGGTGTCCTTGATGAATGCCTTCTGCATGCCTGCAGAACAAATGAGTGACGTCATCGAACTATCAACCATCTTCTCACTTAAAGCCAACCTAATATACAAGCCCAATCCTCATTAAGATAATAATAGCACGGTATTAAAATAAAAACAGCATCTAATATTGTAGTCGGGCTCTGAACTCTGTCCCACAGAATAGTACATAGTAGTAGTGTAGCAACCGACTGTAAATATCTCCCCTCCTATTGGCGGGCCGCAAAGTAATGATTTCCGCACGTGACAGCGCGCCATGCGGGACGCGCGCCACAAGCAAGAAGGGCGAGTTTGACGCTCCACCTGAAGAAAAAGGCATCGATAACTAGTATTACAATTGATATTCTAGTTATACACGAATAGATTCTCATCGAAAATGTCGTACTATGACATTGATGCAATCTTGACGGATTCCCAAGTATGTGTTGTCAATCCTGGAAAATGAAAATGCATGCATGCATGGCTGATTCCCACCCATCCAGAAACTACCCTGCACATTTGAATTGGACGTACCTGGTCTTGGTATTTTGGAGGGGAATCCGGGGGAAAATGTACATCTCCCGTCTGAATGGTTGGATGGGAGGTTTGCTAAGTGTAGTCTATCTAGATCAAAGCTGGAACTCGCATTGATTTGCCGTTATGGCTGGGTGAGATGCTTTCTATCGGGTCAGTTATTTTACTTCCACTACTGATAATATCTTGGTGAGGTATCGTCTAACTATCGCAGTGCCCGACTGGGAACCTCTCGGCTAGTCACGCTGGATCTCCCCTCAGCACTCTCAGAACGAGTCATGAATGCCTTGAAAGCTGATCCTCGGACGGTGGATCTGCGGTCATTGGCGCCGCATTTTTATAGTCTGAGCGAGAGGATTCTGGAGCTGTTTGAGGAAGAGGAATTGGTGGAGGTTTTGAGTAATGTATGGTGCTTTTGTGAACTGGGGATGTGATTAATGTGGCTAATTGTGATGATGATAGACGTTCAAGAAGCGCTCAGCAGTCATTGCGGACCATGCGCATAATCCGCAGGGTGCTTTAGGGCAGGGAGCGGATTTCTTGCGAGGATTGGATGAGACGGAGAGGCAGCGTATGTTGATCGCTCGTCTGTGTTGTGTGTCTTGCTGATTACTGATGCCTTTGTGTAGTTTTCCGGGTTGCGCATGATAGTGCTAAGGAGACGCGGGTCTGGGCTGGAGAGGCGAAAAAGAAATGATGGTAATGGGTTACTGGTTTAGGTGGAGTGTATGGATTGTTGAAAGGTTGAGCTGTGCTCGCCGTTATGAACATAAACTTTAACAGAAGAATAATTATGAAGTATCAAAATGTGATGACTTAAATATTCATTTCGTATTTAGTATGCTATAGTCATGGTTGGAGATGTGTACAAATATGATCATAATGGCTGGCATCTGATTCTGAAGGTTAAGTTTGGAACTACTTAATGAATGTCCTGCTAAACCATAAATTGAAACAAGAAGATGAGACAGTTACCCGAAACCTATCATTCGAAAGTTCCGAAAAATTGCTGCGGATAACCACCCCACGCAGGTGTACTTCGTGCTCCGGAGATATGGAGGAAATCACGAGCGCAATGCCCACCGAGATAAGAATGACTGGAAGGACATGTCAACTCCGACTGGCGGAGTAAGCGCCTACGACCGGCATAACCGAGGGCTTTATTAAGGCCCACGAGCTGGGAGAGCTGGGAAGAAGAGAGAGGGAAAGGGGGAGGGAAAAGAAAAAGAGAAAATCTAATTCTGGGTGCCGAGACGAGCCACGGGAAGAACGATGGGGCAGCAACTTATCTGTCACGGGGCGATAGAGGACTAAAGCTGAGAGCGATGGGGATGATGAGACGATGATTGCAGACGGACTGGTGTAGCGGGGAGGGGGGAACCACGGGCGGCCGATGGGTCCCTGGAACGTGGGGCAGCCTGAGGAAAAGGAGCGCAAGTGGAAGTGAGAAAGTTGACGGATCAGATTTGGCTGCAGTTCCGGGCGGCTACACTGAGGATTCTAATGGAGCAAATAGATACGGAGTACGGAGTAGATATACTTGATAAGTTTATGAAGAGAGGGGAAGTGGAATCGTGAGATTTTAGCC